AGTAAAGTGACCTGCAGACAGAGAGATACTTAATGTACTGCAATAAAGTGACCTGCACACAAAGAGATACTTAGTGTAGTAAAGTGACCTGCACACGGAGAGATACTTAATGTACTACAATAAAGTGACCTTCACAGAGAGAGATACCTAATGTACTACAATAAAGTGACCTGTACACAGACGGATACCTAATATACTATAGTAAAGTAACCTATACACAGAGAAACATACTTAGTGTACTATAGTAAAGTTACCTGTACACAGAGGGATACTTAATGTACTACAATAAAGTGACCTGTACACATAGGGATATTTGATGTACTATAGGAAAATGGCCTACACAGAGGAGAATATTTAGTGCACGATGCTTAGTATTATTGGTATATTTGACTTTCCACAGGCCTGCAAGTGTGTTCAGTAAAAAGACGAAGCAGGAATTTCATGCGTACAAATCAACTTATATCTACAAGCATCAGATCAAAAACGTGTTCCTGAATTTTTCAAATAGCAAATGATGTTTACTGTAACTAAATTATATAAACTCGGACCCGTTTACAATAAAATAAATATTTACGAAGAGAGCTGTGTAGCTTAAGGTTGCGTTGTGCATCCACGATTTCGTTTCTTTTAACGTTTTCTTTATTGGTTCGCCATGTGCAGGTGTACAAAAATTAGACGAAGTAACGAAGAAGAAAACGTATCATGTTTAATGATAAACGACCTCAAAGGAGTTCGATAACGATAATTGGTATTTTCAACCTGAATAGTTAAATAGCCGTCACTAATTTTGATTAGATGGAGAACAGTCAGCACCATAAGGACTTTGTCCGGTTTTAAATCGAATAAGGGGATTTACTGTCACTTCTATAAGGCATCCACAACTGGTTATTCAGCAGCATCACGGTACAAACTGCAGACCTTTATATCCGCAGCCCAACTCGTTAATCAGTAAGCCATACCCGGCTTATCATCAAAATACTAATATTTACTGTTAATCCAGTTAACAGGAAGCTAAATATTCAATACGTTTTAAAGATCAGTCGGAAATCATTCTCAAAACAAAACATCTTGTCGTTGAAATACGAAAGGAATAAACTGTACAAGAGGGGGGCGGTATATTGTGAGGGTACTATTAGTTAACGCTACGTATTCAAACCTTTGTTGCGGGCATAACATACATAGAGGCCCTTCAATCAGTTCCAGGCGAAAAAACTTAAACAGATGAATGGATACAGTCTATAAATCGACTATGGTCCATGTGATGCCACGAGTATTACACGAGAAGTCCCTATACTATTCACGCGAGCAGTTCCTTCTATTCACGCATGAATGTTTAGATAGGACTCGTGATAAATAAAATGAAGTAAAAATATGTTGTTGTTTTTTAATAACAAGTAAGATGCTTTTTCTTAACAATTCAGTTGTTTATGATGATTTATATTTAAGTTACATCAGGAAGAGAAAATATATATATTTGCTAGAGGGTGTCATCCATTTTTCATTTAGATTTCCAATTGGTCAAAACCAGTACAATTACTATAATGATATCCTCTGATAGGATGATTTTTTTCTTACAGTATCAACTATCAGTTTACACAGATCACAAAGTACTGTACGTTACAGTTGAAATGCAAGTATAATTGTAAAGGTATCAATTAGCAGTTTACACAGATCGCAAAGTACTGTACGTTACAGTTGAAATGCAAGTATAATTGTAAAGGTATCAGTTAGCAGTTTACACAGAACGCAAAGTACTGTACGTTACAGTTGAAATGCAAGTATAATTGTAAAGAAAGTCTTACTGCATATGAATGGTGATAGATGAAACAACAATAATAAATAGGTTAAAGCATACAATCGAGCGTGAAATATCAACAAATAAGATATCCCTATTGAAACATGACCTACAGAGAGTGTGTGTGTGTGGTTGTCATAACACCTTTTTTTTTTAAATAGACAAGCTACACAATGGGCTATTTGTGATCTGTCCATCGCGGGTATTGAAATCAAATTCTTAGCTTTATAAGCCCAGACACTTAACGGTGAGCTGCTGTTGGGCAAACTTTGTAAATTGCCCAATGCTAAAAGACATTTAAGCTTATTTTTTGAGACCAATAAACAGAGACGAAAACAGGTAAACAAGCCGTTTTGAAAAGTTCCCAGTATTTTAATTTCAAGTAATTTTATGATTACTCTTATCCTAAAAATCTGATTTCTAAATAACGCAATAAAATTGATAACAATTATAATTAGCTTACTTAATCTAATCCACACCATAGCCGTCGTTTCTCATGAAACTGACGATTTAAATAGCGCCTGGACCACTACTACATCTGTCGTATCCCAGATATAATTGGGCGAAAGGCCTCGTCGGCACTGAATATGGCAGATGTAGTATATTTGACATATTATAGCATTTTTTTCACTCATATGCTTTTATAATTCATAATTTAATTTATTAAGAAATCAGAACAATGCATATAATGATTTCTATCGATTTTGAACCGGTATATATTATTATTTTCTTGTCTAACTTGTGATAAAAAAAACACCAAAAAACAAGTGTCAGGACTCTATAACCTCATTACATTTCAACTTGCCAAATCCTTTAAGTTGTTATATGAGTGAAGATATTGTGAGGGGGATTTTACCAGTAAAAGGGATCGTACTTGATATTAGTAACATCCACATAAAACCTTTAAAGTTGCTATATGAATGATAATATTGTGAGGAAAAAAGATTTGACCAGTTAAATGGAACATACTTGATATTAGTAACATCTACATAAAATCTTTAAGGTTGCTATATAAGTGATGCTATTGTGAGGGGGATTTTACCAGTAAAATGGGTCGTACTTGATATTAGTAACATCTACATAAAATCTTTAAGGTTGCTATATAAGTGATGCTATTCTGAGTGAAATTTTACCAGTAAAATGGATCGTACTTGATATTAGTTTGTTTGTTTGTTTTTGAATTTCGCGCAAAGCTACACGAGGGCTATCTGCACTAGCCGTCCCTAATTTAGCAGTGTAAGACTAGAGGGAAGGCAGCTAGTCACCACCACCCACCGCCAACTCTTGGGCTACTCTTTTACCAACGAATAGTGGGATTGACCGTCACATTATAACGCCCCCACGGTTGAAAGGGCGAGCATGTTTGGTGGGACGGGGATTCGAACCCGCAACCCTCAGTTTGCGAGTCGAGCGCCTTATCCACCTGGCCATACCGGGCCTCTTGTTATTAGTAACACCCACATGAAACGAAAGTACTGCAATCATTCGTCCACAAAAACAACGAAACAATGAATCCTCGCTTACGTTACCACTGTGATGGCGTAATGAGGAAATTAATTACTAAATGCTATATTAGATACATTTATAGTCTGTATAACTTTGAAAAATTGGCAGAATGATGATGTTCATATTTTACAAGTCAATCATTAATGTTTCCAAGAAGCACTAAATAATCCCGACATACTGCGCTATTAAGTGGAAAATAGGCTTAACGCAAATTCATCTAAGTTTTTAGTGGAATTCGATTTTCGTTACCTTATGTCATTGGATAATAGGGTGTACATTATCTTTCAACCGTATATAATGTCAGTTGATTTATAGTTTTAAAGTATCTGTGGTTGATGTTAGTGCTTCCTTCACAGAATTATATAGTTAAAATTACTATTATTACTCTTATAAGTCTGGAATTACAGCTAACTAATATACAGTTACGGTGTTAACGGTAATGTGTAAGTATATAAAAAAAGAATATCTACGAAAGTTGTATGCCCCCCAGTGGCACAGCGGTATGTCTGCGGACTTACAACGCTAGAAACCTGGTTTCAATACCCGTGGTGGCCAGAGTACAGATTTTGTAGCTTTGTGCTTAACTTCAAACAAACGAAAGTTGTATATGTATGGAGTACACAATTAATTCATATTGTCCTTGTTCAATGATACAAACAAATCATGGTCTCATAATCTTAGGTATACACAAGGAGTTTAATTACATTTGCTCAGTATATCTATCATTTATATGTGACTAAGCATTTTAGTCGATGAGGTAGCAATATATGTTTCATTTTCAAATAATTACAGTTAATTTGTATCAAAAATTCAGTTCAAGACTTTAATAACTCGTGGTAAACAATCGTATATTAATACATCTCTGTAAACAAATTATTATTCGCATATATATATATATATCTGATTTAAAACGATTCACAACAGACAAATCAGGCACATGTGTTCTGCGGAGACTTGAATTTGAGCGTCATCGTGGTTAGACTGTATTTTACCGTACAGTCTTTAATATATTTTGTTCAGTCACTGAAATCAGTAAAGTACAGCCTAAAAAAAACAACAACACTTTGAATTCATATTATTTACAATTTATTTAAATTGGTTTATTTTCATATTTGCTGTACTATTTCAGTGGTATTTTAATACAGTGTTGATGTTCCGTTGATAAATCAAAACACTCTTTTATCTAAGGAAATAAAATCAACTGCGATAACTTTAGGTTTTTATGACATAGAGACTAGAGGTACAGGATTTATATCTATCGATTTTAAAGGATTTGTTTTTCTTTTAGACACCGCAAGCCAGGCGGTCAGTTTAAGAAAAATGTATTAGTTCAATCCCCTATTTATATCAACTATAAATTTCTAATGAATACAGTAAAAAAGTATAAAAACATCTTCAATAAGTTTCAAGTTGTTGCTCTTTTCTTTTTTTTTTTGCCTAACATTATTTCAGATTCAGTGCTTATATAAAATCGCTTTTTTCTATGAATACTATATATTATAATAACCGTATCTGAAAACGAAATTCAATCATTTTAGTCCTTTGATCTTAGGCATTTGGCAGAAATCACGAATGCCCCCTCAGTAGAAATAACGCGTCAGTAATTTGTTTTTATAGTTCTGTTACCCTGATAAGATTATCAAATAACCTTAACTTCAAACAGAGAGAGAAATAGAATATTAGTTCGTATTTGATTTACCTTCACTAACCGTCTTGTAGAATACACTTTGATTGAATCAATGGACATTGTTCATATTCCCAATAGTCGAGGCCTAGCAAGAGTTAACGAAATTGGAAGAACCTTCGGGACATCAGGTAGGGGGAGGGGGTATGTGAGTAGGGTCTAATCAACCGTTCATGACTAGAGCACGCCTTTATTGGTACCATGGCGGCTTTCAGAGATCTGTCATCGGGACATACAGTAAACCGACATCCACAACCTGACCTCGTATAAACCGCCTGATCACTAAATCAAACAATTTCGGAATGTCTTTTCATATGGAGCGACAAATGGTCCGACCTGGAAAATGCACGCTCACATAGACGACACTGGAAGGGTCTGTCACCAGTATGTTTTCGGTAGTGTCTGGTCAATTCGTCAGAGCGGGCGAATTTCCAGCTACATCCTTTCCACGTGCACTGGTAGGGTTTCTCACCGGTATGAGTCCGGAGGTGAGCTTTCAGATGCGAACTTTTAGAGTAGGTTTTCGTACAACCAGGATAAGAGCAATTGTGAACAGTTACTTTTTTGGGACCCCTAGATCGGCGAACACGCCGAGGTTTAGGTGGTGCGGGCTGAAGAGAATCTCCAGAACACAATGTATTACCTCCAACAGAGCTTCGGCCAGAGGCCAGAAGCTCGGCCAGATGAGGAGAAGTGGGTGGAGTCACCATTCTAGAATGAGTAGGATATGGGGAGGGATATGTTTGGGGCATGTTTGACGACGAATGTTGTCGAAATAATCCAGTAGGTGCTTTGGCCATAGTTGGGTGATAGCCTCCGTAAGGGTCAGTCTGGTAAGTATATCTGATTGTATGATTGTCTGGAGTGACTGGAGGTGAAACATGATGACTGGGCATCGCACAATTGTAGGCTGTCCAGTGACCACTAAAATATTCCGTAGTTGGATTGTTAGGGCAATGTTGATTTTCATATTTGATCTCAGAATACACAGTATTATACCTCTGACCATAAGGGATAGGGTTGTATATACGAAGCGATTCCGTATTATTAGTAGCATCAGGTAGCGGCCCATTCATAACCATTTCACATTTAACGTTAGGGTTTGAAATAGCTGATTCCTCGTTATAAGCTTGCTTGATTCCTTCTAAAGTTATCCCCAGATCCATTTCCAAGCGATTTTCTTCCGGTCGACGGCCGTCTACCATCTGAGGCGGTGCTGCGTACTGGAGAGTGGCTACCGGGGACAGTAATTGTTGTTGTGTCGGAAACTGTTGGCGCGGTACCGAAGTGAGTTCTACCGGAGTAATGGCGGTGACAGCGGAAGGAGGGAGCGGTCGGCTTTCTGTCTGGATGGACTGCATTCCGTTCGGGGTACAAGGACCGGCCATATCTCCTAATAACACGCTCTCTATGTCTTGCCACATCTGCAAGTAAAAAATAAAAAAAAAATAGTCACACGTTTCTTAAAAGAAAAAATATTAGAATATTATCATTATGTATACTTTAGGTGTAGCATTTTAATTTATCTGAAAAACAAGTTTATGACTAGCTACTTCACCCAGAAAGGTAAGTTTTAAGGGCTATAGATTAAATGCCTTCACATGTGTCTTATCTCAAACGTACAAGTTAAGTATTTTGCCTACAAATAAGTTGATGTAACAAGTCAGTCAGCCTTTCCAAAATATCTGTTAAAATTAAAATGTAAATCTCAATTTTCTACATATCGCGACACAACAAAGTAATTTCTTATTGAACTAAATGACCTCAAAACATATACAAGTTTCATATAAGCTTTGGTTGTGTTGTAGACAGTGACGAAACCAGATGTCGTGATATTTCCCTTAACAAATTATTTCCATCCTGATTTAACGTTGCAAGTACGTATATACGTACCTAAGACACGTCCGACATTGATTAAAACTAATCATATGATTAATTAGAGTCGCAAAAGAAACATTATTCTGCCCAAGGAGTTAGTACACAAATTAATACGCTCGCACTACATATCGATGCCTCACCTAAACCTAACTACTCCTTGATCTCCAGTTACATACCTAGACTTTGTTCAAGGTATGAAATAAGAGGGCGTGGCCTAACCCTAGCACCCAGCAGACTACTGGAATGGATGAAGCTTATGTATAGAATGTGTAATATATTGTATACTGGAAAAGATCGTTGATAGATGACACATACGTTACGCTGCTATCTATGAGCCGAGGTTTAATTGCAGGTTTATTTGTACTGATCATACGGACGTATATGTTATTCGTTGCAATATATTCGTCATCAGCATGAACCGAATGGGAAAAACACAAAAGCATTCGTAATGAAGAAAAATACGTTGGCACCCACAGGATATGCGGAGTTGATATATCTCTTCTTGTATACACGTATTTTCTCGCGCGGTTGGGCAGAACTGGCAAAACTTCAGTGACGAGAAAAGAGTCAACCCCTGGTGACCTTCTTTCTGTGGGGTGTTGAGTGGAATCTGTCATCTTTCATGTACTCTCATTCTTTTGTATGAATGCTTTTCTGTTTCATATGTTTATCTGAAAATTGTTTTTCAAAGAAGTTTTTACCCGTTAACATCTGTAAAGTAGTACGGAAATCAGTAATACTCAGAGTTGCTTCATAGAAAAGAGAAACATGTTTTAAGTTTTTATAAAGCAACTCTGAGTATTACTGATTTCCGTACAACTTTACAGATAATGACTTAGAGAAATGTGCTTTAAGTTTCTATGAAGCAGCTCTGAGTATTACTGATTTCCGTACTACTTTACAGATAATGACTTAGAGAAACGTGTTTTCAGTTTCTATGAAGCAACTCTGAGTATTACTGATTTCCGAACTACTTTACAGATAATGACTTAGAGAAACGTGTTTTAAGCCTATTTGGGTACAAGAACAGTTGATGGTAGTGTAACTAACAGTTTTTAACACAAAATAAAAAGCCAATAAATTGGTTAATGAAAAGTAAGTTATAAGAACTTTGCAAAAAAATGACTTGTAATGTAAAACATATTAGTAAGCACATCAGTGTATCACTTCAAGAATTAGTTGCAATTTATTGTAATCATTTGCAATGTATTTAACTAAATCACAAAAGACAGAGTAGTTGGCTCGAGGAAATGGTTATTTGAGTAGAAACTGTTTAGTTGAACCGGCAGAGAAACATGTTTTAAGTTTCTATGAAACAACTCTGGGCGTTACTGATTTCTGTACTACTTTACAGATAATGACGGTACATTCTAATCTGTAATTAGAATTGCCGAGAGGGTTCGTCAACAGTGACAGCATTCATATGACGAAACAATGCATTCTAATCTATATAATTAATATCGCAAGAACATTACATCAAATTAGCTATACACAGTACCGAGTTGATATTTATTTTTAATATAAGAAGGAAGCTTGTTCTGAATAGAAATCAATATTAATAATCTAATATAACTTAACTCGCGTTTCATACGGTTCAAATCTTTTCCTAGTCTTTCAAAAACGTTTAGTCATTAAGCCACGCTCTGATCAAGGTGGACTTTCGAAATCGATCGGGTTGTAGGGTTTTTATCATTTTGTATCAAGACTTCTTGAACCTTCTTTTTTTTTTTCTTGACATGATGAACATATTAATATATATATATATATATATGCCTGTAGCTCAAGTCTATGTTTTTCTAGTGAGTTACTTCTGATTTTCCCCTATCTTTTAACTTCAAAAACAGCTTCTAAATTTGATATTCCGTTCACAAATTTGTTACTTTTTTCCAGTTTTATATAGTAGTTTGTTAATTGTCGAGCTAATATCTAAAATTCATAAAGTCATTCTTGGTTGTGACCTTGACATTTAAAACTCGAAAGGTCATTTTAAGGTCTTTAAAGCTACTGGCGTAAATCTACTGAACTAATTGGACAATATATATATATATAGGGATTGTTTTAAGTAATGTATTGATAGTACCAAACATTCAATGCCCTATCGTTGACTTTGATTTACACACAGTAACTGTACAATACACACAAAACAACAAATTATCATTAATCAAGAAATGAAAGACTAAAGTTCAATTGTTCAAAAAGTGATCGACAGAAGACAGGAGGGGGGAGAAGGGATCCAGTGGGGATATAGAACTGAATGCATCAGGATTGCTTAAAACTTCATTAATCATAAATGTATCAACGAAATTTCAATTAATTACATTTTGACTGATTACAAGTGCAGGATGCGAAACTGCTGCTGCATTAATAAGTTTCATCATTATTAACTCAGTAATTAATGAATTACTCCGATCAACGCTGTACCAACGCTGAAGCTTGAAACGTGAGTATAAAGCAACATAACTTATATGTAAATAAAACAATATGGAGTTCGGTTTTCTTCTGTAAACTGATAGACTTGAGTCTCTCTACAGTACTGTTCAATATTGCCCGGCATGGCCAGGTGGTTAGGGCGCTTAACTCGTGGGTTCGAATCCCTAGCCCTTTCATCCGTGGGGGCGTTTTAATGTGACAGTCAATCCCACTATTTGTTAGTACAAGAGTAACCCATGAGTTGGCGGTGGGTGGTGATGACTAGCTGCCTTCCCTCTTGTTTTTAACTGCTAAATTAGCAAAGGCTAGCGCAGATAGCCCTCGTGTAGCTTTGCGCGAAAGTTCATAACCAAACTGTTGCCCACCAACACCGAAACTCTGGCAAAAGTAAACTGTAACACGACCTCATCTTGCCAAGTTTCTGATACAGCGAACTCAAACCCTCTATTTTCAAACATCAAGAATTTACTACTAATTATTGTAATGAAAAATACGGCTTATAATAACTATCTTTTCAACTAACTAAAGAAACCTTACTAGTTTGTCCCACTAGTCAAAATCTCGTAGAATGCTTGAAAGTTTGAGAACTTTTTCGTTTTTCATTCTCCGGCATCCAAGTAACAGTAAGTGATCCTAACAGAACGCATAAAACTGCAAAGTAGCGTCTCAAGACATATCCCATAATGCCTCAATTGAACAATATTTTTTTTAGCTGTGGATTCATCAAGGGAATAAAAAGCCAAACTTAATGAACTCAGTGTTAATTACCTGCATGATATAAAGGTATATATAGTTTTATGCTTTCCTTACCGATGTGAATGTGACTAAATTCTAAAGCAAGCCAATTACTGCATTTAAAATAATACACAAAACCTTTTGCATATAGTTTTGTCTTTATTTTAACCTTGTAAATACTCTAACTTTCAGTAAAGATGTGCAAATTATTCTCATCTTTAGTAAACATCATGTTCTCATCTTTTGTAAACTTTTGTAAACGCTGAATTCTTGTACAGATATGTACTGCGACATTTGTCACGGTCCTAGAAAATGAAAGTAAAGACGTGAATACTTGTACACTTGTAGTGAAGACTAGAGTACTTGTACACTTGTAGTGAAGATGAGAGTACTTGTACACTAGTAGTGAAGACGAGAGTACTTGTACAATAGTAGTGAAGACTAGAGTACTTGCACACTAGCAGTGAAGATGAGAGTACTTGTACACTTATAGTAAAGACTAGAGTACTTGCACACAAGTAGTGAAGACGAGAGTACTTGTACACGTGTAGTGAAGATGAGAGTACTTGTACACGTGTAGTGAACATGAGAGTACTTGTACGCTTATAGTAAAGACTAGAGTACTTGCACACAAGTAGTGAAGACGAGAGTACTTGTACACGTGTAGTGAAGATGAGAGTACTTGTACACTTATAGTAAAGATTAGAGTACTTGTACACTAGTAGTGAAGACGAGAGTACTTGTACACGTGTAGTAAAGACTAGAGTACTTGTATACTAGTAGTGAAGACGAGACTACTTGTACACTTGAAGTAAAGACGAGAATACTTGTACACTTTTAGTGAAGACTAGAGTACTTGTACACTTGTAGTGAAGACTAGAGTACTTGTACACTAGTAGTGAAGACTAGAGTACTTGTACACTTTTAGTGAAGACGAGAGTACTTGTACACGTGTAGTGAAGACGAGGGTATTTGTACACTAGAGTGAAGACGAGAATACTTGTACACTTGTAGTGAAGACTAGAGTACTTGTACACTTGAAGTGAAGACGAGCGTACTTGTACCCTAGTAGTGAAGACGAGCGTACTTGTACCCTAGTAGTGAAGACGAGAGTATTTGTACGCTTGTATCAAAGACGAGAGTGTATGTACTCTGGACGTAGAGATTAGGCAATGACTTTAGTACAACCAATGTGAAATTATCTGTGAAGTCTTTGTAGCCTGATATCTTTAAATGTGGATACTTTGGAAAAGCTGCAATATACAAAGCTTAAATTATCCCTAGAATTTCAGTGTAACACTATAATATATAAAAAAAAGTTTAGTCTTGTTCTGTTTGGTGTATAAAAAAACACACATTAGTATTGGACTATGATTTTGAC